TACTTGATACAAAGTAGGAATACAATTAAAGTCCACAATTCCTTTGTATAAAAAACTTCAGGAGTACAATAGTTCCACGTCTTATGTGAATACAGCTATACACGGCTGGCTTCACTGCCGCGTTCACGTTTCGCTTCTTCTTATAGCTGGTACTCTTTAGTGGTCTGCCACTATGGCAGAAGCCTAATCGGCAGAAAGAGAACCTATCAGTGGAGCGGATGGAAAACTAGTGAAGTAGAAGTGTTGAAACTCTATTTCATTCACAGCATCGGGGAGGGCGGGGTATAAATGCGAAAAATAAATAAATAAAATAAGGGTTCTTTAACAAAGATTTCAAATTGTTTGAATTGTTTCATACACTATCATTTTTCTGCTTTTGTTCGTAATTCATTCAACGGAGTGTCTTTATATTTATACAACCTCCAGGTGGTAGCTTGTTAGGAGAAACGTCCCGTGATCTCTCTTCTTTTGACAACTTCCAGTTGGTGGCTGGAAATCTCCCGCTATTACAACTGATCTCCAGGTGACAAGAGATCAATTCACCTGGAGGAAGCAGCTGTTTGGGAAGGCGGACTCTATTGGCACTGGAGTCCCTCTGCTCCCGAAGCCCCACCCTCCCCAGGCTCCACCTCTGAAATTTCCAGGTACTTCCCAACTGAGCTGGCAACTGTACAGTCATTAAAGAACCTCAGCTGGGAAAGACCCTTTCCCACCTCAAGACTCCGGACTGATTGACTCAGAATGAGGCAGCTACAGGTCTCCAACTGAAGCACAGCCTCCGAGGAGGGTATTTTGACAAATCCGCAATTCCTGGGGTGAGGGAGGAAATCCCGATTGCCTATCTAGCTGAGACAGAAGCTGTAATCAGAAAAGATGTTGGCATTCTGCACTAACCATATATCTTCTTCAACAGCTACACTCTGCTTCTCTGCTCAACAGGTTGGCATTCTGCACTAACCATATATAGACGGTGCGGCTTTCTTCTTCAACAGCTACACTCTGCTTCTCTGCTCAACAGGCCCTTCACTGAGATTTACTGTGAATGATACTCTTGTTGATTTCAGAAGCTGCAAAGGGAAGAGATGGTTAGAGGGGAAACCAATAAAAATGCAGGGATTTTTCCTTTTTTAAAAAAAAGAAAAAACCCACAGCCGACAGAAGAACAAATACGTGAGGGCAAAGAAGAAAGAACACAGCTGCACTCAAAAAGGTGTTTCCTTAACCAAAATTAAGGCCAGGCTGTTTGAATTAAATGTAGGGTTGCCAGCTCCAGGTGGGAAATACCTGGAGATTTGGGAGTGGTGGAGCTTGGGCAGGTTAGGCTTTGGGGAGGGGGAGGACCTCAGTGGGGTATAATACTATAAAGTCCACCCTCCACAGCAGCCATTTTCCCCCCAGGGGCACTGATATCTCACCTGGAGCTCAGTTGGAATTCCAGGAGATCTCCAGGTCCCACCTGGAGGTTGTCAACCATAATTAAACATTGGTGTGCTTTTGCGTATTTTCGTACAAGCAAGAAGGGGCAAGAACGGGCTTTTAAAAATGTGGTTTTGGTCAAGACTGGTGTAGTTTTAGGCACTGGAGAAAACGACTGTGCGCTGCTGCCTGTCTCAGACTTTAGGAAGTCACCATAGAGTTGGTCAGATAGATAGGTCAGGACACACAGAGCATCCTTTCCTTCCTGTTATCTGATCCTATCCCCTTTGAGGTAGAATGCTAGTCTTAAGGACGCGTTTCCTTCCTTCCAGCTTGACACTTCTCTCTCACTCACGCTCCTTCACACACACAAAGAAGGAGCTCTGGAACAATGGATGCCCGGCATGTTTCCCCTGCATCCGCACGCATCCTAGTTAGATGTTAGATTCTATCTCTCTCTCTCACCTGTACTGTCTAGAATGGAGTTCATATAATAAAGAACTCATTCATTTTTAAATCTATTGGCTCTGTGTAACTTTGTAAGCTTGCTAGCACACTCAGTACCAAGGTTTCGCTGCATGGAAATGCCTTGTGCACCCTGCTACGTTGACAGTGATTCCTGGCTCTACTAATACCAGAGTATCCAACAGAGAACCCTCCTCAAATAACAAGAATCCAGAACTATAATGATGGTTTCAGAGGGTAGCCATGTTGGTCTTCAGTAGAAGAGCTAGGTTCGAGTCCAGCAGCACCTTAGAGGCCAACACGATTTTCAGGGTATAAGGCTTCGAGGGTCAAGGGAGCGCTGACTCCCAAAAGCTCATACTCCAAGAATCTTGTTGGTCTCTAAGGTGCTACTGGACCAGGGGTCGTTTCGTAGGAAACATTAGCATAACTTATTAGCATATGCCACACCCCCTGACATCACCGGAAGTGTGTCATAAGGCCACACCCCCTGACATCACCGGAAGTGTGTCATAAGGCCACACCCCCTGACATCACCGGAAGTGTGTCATAAGGCCACAC